TTTGACGGTTATGGGCATGGGAAGACAAATGGTATATGCAAATAGGAAACAAAAGACGAGAATATGATGCGTGATGTCGAATACTATTTTGTTGATATTAAATGAAGACCCTTCTTATCCAAATTCATCTTAATTTTCTAGCTTATTTATTTGATCTGTTACATTGCTAGGCAGGATTAAATGGCCTGTGTTATCATAATTGCTTAGTATTCGGTGCAACTCTTGAAATTTCTGATCAGAGTTTCTGCCGATAAATCATATAGTGATGAAGCTTTTGCTTCGAAGTGTAGATTTGTAATGCATGATTGAGTAATAATAATATATTTACGAGTATATATGCCGTTTGTTTCCAAAAGATGTGGATAGAATACGGACACATGCACCCATCTCACCAACCACCATGATTTATTCTCGAAAGGGTTGTAACATAAAATGTTTCTATTATTTTACATGTGTGTACGTGAATATTGAACGCAGAATAAAACTTCCCGGACAAAATATAATGCTGCTATTTTGAATACGGTTTAAGTGGTATCAAGTATTGGCGGTTCGCTAAAAAAGAAAACATACCAATATTTTCTTTCATACAGGCGTTTTAGACTTATTCTTTTAAAATTAACTGCAATCTGCAGGGAACAGAAATAAAGCTTTATTCAATTTTTAGATGTTATACGAGTATATGCTGAAACTTACAATCTTCATACCTGAATCACAGTAGACATACGAAATTACTGTACCGTGTCTTGCAATGTTTTTAATAAGTCATGTACACACCCTGTCTTACAATTACAAGCACATGCTACTTCCATTTATCATACCTTTCCCGGGAGGGAGCATATATACTTTAACCAGTTTACAGGAAGTAGAAGTGTTACACACTGTGCGAATTAAATACTTTCGTAGGAATGATTGTTAATTTAATCAAAACAGAGATATGAGTAAGTTGTATGAACAGACGTTGCAATATCATGTTGGATCATTTTGATGACAGTGCAAGTAGTTTTGCAAAATAGAAAAAAAAACCTATTTTGATTCACAAAATAAAAAAAATATTGAAATATATCGTTTGAAAAATGATATATTTTACTTTATTTCAACTTGTGATATCTTACTGTACATTTTATTTTGACGGGAATTGACTTTGCTGTTGTGTCAGATTAATGTTTTCGCATGTGAATTAGAAATGTCCATAGGACACGGATGCCCCCACACGCCACTGTTCTGTCAATCTTATGACTCTAGGTCAAATATTTATTGGACTACATGTGCCACAAGTTGAAAACTAAAAATCAACAAGGGGCCATAATTCTGTTAAATTTGGTCGCAGCAAAAATTCCTTCCTTTACTACCATCTACACACTAAGGTTGTTAATCCCTGGAAGTTTAAGCAAAATCTGCCATCCGGTTTAAGAGGAGTTGCGTTCACAAAATTTCTACATAGTATATAATGAAAAAATCAACAAAAGGCCATAATTCTGTTAAATTTGGTTGCAGCAAAAATTCCTTCCTTTACTGCCATCTACACATTAAGGTTGTTAATCCCTGGAAGTTTAAGCAAAATCTGCCATCCGGTTTAAGAGGAGTTGCGTTCACAAAATTTCTACATAGTATATAATGAAAAAATCAACAAAGGGCCATAATTCTGTTAAATTTGGTTGCAGCAAAAATTCCTTCCTTTACTGCCATCTACACATTAAGGTTGTTCATCCCTGTAAGTTTAAGCAAAATCTGCCATCCGGTTTAAGAGGAGTTGCATTCACAAAATTTCTACATAGTATAGTGTGAAAAAATCAACAAAGGGCCATAATTCTGTAAAATTTGGTCGCAGCGAAAATTCCTTCCTTTACTGCCATCTACACCTTAAGGTTGTTCATCCCTGTAAGTTTAAGCAAAATCTGCAATCCGGAATAAGAGGAGTTGCGTTCACAAAATTTCTACATAGTATATAGTGAAAAAATCAACAAAGGGCCATAATTCTGTTAAATTTGGTCGCAGCAAAAATCCCTTCCTTTACTACCATCTACACATTAAGGTTGTTCATCCCTGTAAGTTTAAGCAAAATCTGCCATCCGGTTTAAGAGGAGTTGCGTTCACAAAATTTCTACATAGTATCTAATGAAAAAATCAACAAAGGGCCATAATTCTGTTAAATTTGGTCGCAGCGAAAATTCCTTCCTTTACTACCATCTACACATTAAGGTTGTTCGTCCCTGTAAGTTTAGGCAAAATCTGCCATCCGGTTTAAGAGGAGTTGCGTTCACAAGATTTCGGGACGTACGGACGGACGGACGGACGGACGGACAAGTGCAACGCTATATGCTCCCACATTATGGGGGCATAAAAAACAACAAATTTTAAAATTCGCGAAAATTACAAATGAACACTTAAAAAAGTTTCAAATTGATTATGTAACAATACAATGTGATGATTGTGTAAAATCTTTTTACTTAACTTTGATATGCAGGTCATCAGAATGTGTAAAAAAGCTGCCAATCAATTAAATGTGCTTTTAAGAGTTAAAATAAACAGACAAGCCACACAAACACGAACATTCAGTAATTATTTCCTTTTATCTTTTAAGAGTCAGGAAATTTTGACATTCAGAATGTCATCTTCTTATTTACAAATCTTTTATCAGGTCGAATTTTAACTACTGTCCTCTAGTTTAGCATTTTTGCTCTAAATTAGACACAATCAAGCTTGAAAAACTCCAGCAGAGAACTCTAAGAATAGTATTCAATTATTTTATTTCTAGATATGACACAAGACTTAAAAGTATAGCCAAAGAAGTGTTTAAATGCCTATACGAAAAGTCACCACCATATATAAATGATTTAATTCAATGTAAAAATCCCAATTATTCTTTTAGGTATCTAAAACGTGTAAATATTCCAAGGGTAAAGACAGTAACATACGGTAAGAATTCTTTTAGGTTTGAAGACGTTCAGATATGGAAAAGTCTCCCTAATGACATCCACAAGGTTAAAAACTACAAAGAGTTTGGGAGACTGATCCAGGTCTGGAGTGGCCCTAGTTGTAAATGTGCTATGTGTTTGTAAATTTGCTAAGTTTTATGTAAAATGCTTAGACTGCTTGTTTGTTTGCTTTTGTTTTTTTGTGCATCCCTTTTTAGTTTGCTTTGATTTAAATGCTGTATGTTATTTTTCCTTTAAACCCCAGTATTTTTATGCAAGTTGTGCCCTTGCTGTCTGGCTTGTATGTTTGTTTAATTAAAACCCCTTATTTTCCTTCCATTTGGCTGTGCATGCAACTTAATTTTAGTTAACTTTGTTTGTTATCCTGTATGTGCTTTATCTAACTTTTTTTTTCATGCAGTTTTAGCTCTGTCATAAAACTTTTATGTACATGAATTTTTTAAGTAAGTCAATTAATTTCTTTTTAGTAAATATGTAATTATGTATAATCTCTAGATGTTAACTTTTACTATTTTAATCAATTTATATTTTTATATTATAAATAGAGGATATTGAATGAGTGTAAGTTCAATACTGAATTTATTGCACGAGTTGAATAAAGTTATATTATGCGAGCCTCTGGCGAGCATAATATTATTTTATTCAACGAGTGCAATAATTTCAGTAATGAACTTACACGAATTTAATATTCTTTTTATCACATACCCAAAATAAAGACCGGTTAAAGAGAAATAAGAGTCATTTTTCATTGACGCGCCTATAGTATAACGCTAACATTTAGCGCGTCATTACATTATGTTTGTATAACGCTAATGACGTCACGTCAAAATATATGCACGGCCGTGCAATACCATATTTACGGAGTCGCAAAATCGGCACGGGTGTGTGATAATTATTTTTATTTATTTCACTTTGCTACATGTATCATACATGTACTTAAATTGTCAGCTCATTCTATACTACAGTAGTTTATTACTTATAAACTGATTGTCCCTTTAATACAGTACTGTGTATTTCATTAAACATTGCTTTAATTTGTCATCCTAAATCTTGCTACTTTTATTTCATGCCTATAGATGCTACTAGCTTTAAATGTTTTTACTTTTCAGATCTGTTATATGTTAGTAAATATGTTTTATGTCTTTGTTGTTGTCGGTAAATGGCTTATTAGCTAATGTTATCTTGTAATTTGTAAACCGACTTAAAGTAATGTTTCTTGTATCTTGTATTGTATTGACGATGAGTCCTGAGATTTTTTTTTTTTAGATTATCTGATTTATGTTATTGTTTTCAATAAAAAGCCAAAGGGATTAAAATCTTTGATGAAATTTGCATTTCATTTGCAACGGAACAAATATTTTTACAACTTGAGGACAACTTATTAAAGACTAAAAAAAACATCTAAAATTGAATTTTCGGGAATTCCTAAAAAGATGTTATAACTTGATTATGCCTAATCCTTAAAGAGTTTGTTTTACAAATTTTTACAGCAACGCAGTGTTTTAACCATATACACAGAATTTGGTTTCCTTTCGGTTGTTTTGTTTTTTGTTTTGTAAAGGTTTTGGTTATAATTTTCCTTAGTTAACAGTTTCACCACAATGATGACTTTGTACTTGAAAAACAATTGATTGCGCAGCTTTTACATAGCCGTTGATTGTCTTAACGTTATCCTTTTCCGGTGTCGCGTAATCATCACAGGCGTGGAAATATTAGGCACTTTGATGAAAAGTGTCTTAAGTTGGTGTTGTTTTTTCTATGAACTTGTAGTTAATAACAATTTGCATACTTAAACATTCGTTATGCAAGTTGTTGACAGGATATACGGGAGAATTTAGCCTTGATCTTGGCTAGCGCCTACGTCATTTTCTTATATCTCATTCAGGCTATATTCTTCCGCATATTTCGTCATAATCTGGTATGATTAATAATGTATGTTTTAAAGATATTTGTTTCGTTTGACAAAAGATCCTTATAGCTTTACGGGCCGATATATCCTTCATTATTTACGTCTATACATTATGCAATCAATATCCGACAGATCCGAAAGCGGTCGTATTGAATATTTATAAATAGATAAACGAGTAGGTCGCATGATTTTCAGAAAATCTAAATCATAAGAATACCTTAAAATATCATAAGTGCATATAAAATAAAGGGAGCAAAATGACAATTTTCAGATAGATATTCATTGGAAGGTACTGTGCAAGTTAGATATTACCTTTTAATTATTCATACCAGGTTTATTTATCTAAAAATAACAATAAACATTTAACAAATTGTAAACGACATTCTACTTTTGATTTTAAAGATCCTGTATGTTTTGATCAAAGTGGTAAACACCATTAAGTGAAATTATATATATGTACATAATTATGCAAAATAAAACAGTTTTCAAACATCGAAGAATATTTAAAATATGTACTGCAAATATTTGTGCATATTATATGTAATCATTAAAATATATGCATTCATTTCTTATTGTAAAATTTGACTTTAATTATAGAAAATGATTTTTTGTTACCTCCCTTTATTTAAAGGAAATGTTAAATTCGGTAATATTTTTTTATAAATAAAGCTTTTTGGAACATACAGTATTGATAAATCTTCATTTGAGCATCATATTTATGATTTAAAACCAAAAAAAAATGTGTTACAGGATCTTTAATAATCATGTTACGGTTTAAATTGTGAAAACTTGCGAGATTGTGTCGTGGGACTCGGACATGCATGATAGGATTTATCACATACCCGTGCCGATTTTGCGACTACTTAAAAAGCCGAGCATATATTTTACGTCATTTGCGTTAAACAAACTTAGTGTAAAGACGCGCTAAATGTTAGCTCGTCACTGAAAAATGATTCATTTGCACATTAAACAGATTTTATTTTGGGTATCTGATATATAGAGTATTATATTTGTGTAGCTCCATTACTGTCTTAATCAAACGAGTTGAATAAAATTATATTATGCGAGCATGTATATTATTACGTTATTGGCTTTTTATTATCATTTATTCTATGCATGTTCATACAATGTGATTAAAACCTTGCCGTGTAAAGAAATAGACTGATAACAGATATTTGTATAGTCAATTTAAAGTGTTAGGTGTACACGTATCTATAAAGTACCTGCTAATTATTATGCACTTTACCTGTTACTTAATACCGCAGTGGATTAATAAAATCTCTTTACCATGTCTTGCGAGGCTTCTATAATTAAATGCGTACCACGTTTTGAAATTACAAGTTTCTGCTACTTCCGATCATGGTATCTGTCATTGGAGCTTATATATTTTAACTTGAACCTTGAAAGTTGACTAGTTTATACACTGGGGTAAAATTATACTTATGAAATATTGATTAAATTCGGTCGTTTGACTTTTCAAAAACAGAAATGATATAAAATTAGAAATCAATCTTGTAAACGTAGTGTTTATGGTTCAAGTATCTTGGAATGTTATAAAGAATTTTAATCTGTGTATTATATAACAAATAAAAACATATGTTTATCTGAATATTGGTGTTTTACACTATCACTTACTTAAGGTTTAGATAGAATCGGCAAATGTTACATTTTCTAAAGGCGCATTAGTATACTGCTTGATTGAATAAAAGTCTTTTGTGTTTTATTTAAAAAAAATATAATGAACACGTTGTGTTCATTTATAGTGTAAAACTTGAATTCATTTTTATGCAAATAATAAATAAACAAAGAAATTCAGGAATAATAAAAGAACATGTTACCTAATTTATGAAGGGAACTCTAACCGAATGATATAAATATTCATTTCAATGCGTTCAATAGGTTAGGAAAGGAAGGAGAACAGGTGAAATGGAAGTTGAGGAACGATTGTTGTTCTTCAGTCAGGAGATTACAAGATGCATCAAAGAACCATCCGTCATTTCTCATCTCGAGGCAGATTCAATTATACCTTCTGGTAAATATACACCAATTGGATTTACATTCTAAATCTACAGCGTGCACGAAAATAAATTCCCACTTGTTTGTTGGTCTGGGTGACTATATTCCATATTTTGCGTACTGCTGGATGAGTAAACACACTAGAAATAACAATAAGATAATGTATACGAAAAAGAACCGTCGCCATTTTAGCTACCAAACATAAGTGCTATATTGTGTTTATTTTTCATTTTAATTTACAATGTTAGAATATCAAAGTGAAAGCCACGTAATAAGGTACTCTTTATGATAATTTCATTTCGGATCCTTTTTTATTCGCACTTTATCATTTTCTTATCGCAATAAACTCTAAAGACACTATCAAAACCGAAAACAACGTTTTATCACATTAAATATCACATTAAATTATGTGAGATGATTCTGATGATTAATTTCATCGGTCATTTCATCTTTAAAATATTTGCATATTTGTGTAATTATTATGCTCTTAAATTAAAGACGACTGTTCAAAGATGAAGCAGATATTTATAGCTGCCGATCCTTTTAAAGCTAATGAAATGATGATCGACTGTCTTCGGAAATCATCTGCAATGGGAAAATGGAAATCATTACTGACCGCTTTAGAAAATGCAGGTAAATTTTAAGATATTAACATACTGCGATACTCAACCCTTGGGATTTTGACATTCTTGTATTCACAACTGAATCTGAAAGTCGCCACCCATCGTCCTTGCACGTTTTTACAACTTTTTTACAACTTATCCAAATAACCAAAAGTTAAATTTGTCAACTTTTTTCATATTTAAAAATTACATAACTGACTAAAATGGTTTTTAATTTGATCTACAGAATATGTCTACATCAAGTCCTTACTGGAAACAGACGGCAAACCAAGTGTGAAAGATGAACGCGAAAGGGCAATTATTCGAGTATTCATATCCTACTTAGAGAAGACTATTGATGCAATGGATATCGTTGCTGAGCTTTTTTCAAGAAAAGTTATAAATGACACGGATGTCGAATTAATTCGTGCTCAATATCAGAATAAAGGGAACACATATGCAACAATTGTGCTTTTAGACAGAATGCAATGCAGACTGGCTCCAGGCGAATGGTATTATCAATTTCTCGATGTATTGGTTCAAAAGAACCTCAAACACATTGTCAAAGAAATCGAGCCAGACTTTTTGCAATCCCCCGAACGATTCCGATTTTGTCATGGTGAGATTAATTCATTTATTGATTCAATGATTTAAATCCACTCATATACTAGTAACAGTAAAATTTCTTCATGTATTTTTGTCAATAACAAAAAGCTCTTTTCAATTCCTTTGAATGTAAAAACATTTTGATATTTCTGACATATACACGTTTTCTTTCTTCTCGTGATTATAGAATCAGAAGTGAATGATAAAAAAGATATGCCTGTTGAGACCTCTGAAACGAAAGTACCTGTATCAATAAAGTACGATGACATTCAAGAACACGTTCTTACAGGTATGATGAATCACTCGTTTGATTATTTATAATCTTTCAACTCTAACCATACGACGCTAAGTAGTCTGATCGTAACTTGTAAGATATATAATTGAAAATGTATTGTCATGTTAGAATGGCTTTCATTCTGTTGTTTGCAGTAAAGAGTGTTGTAGATTGAGCTGAATAAATACTAAAAAAACAACAAATATCTTATTTAATGTTGTTAAAATGCTTTAACGATTGATAAAACCAACCAATTTCAACTAATCTGAAAATTGCAACATTACTTTATTTGGTAGAGTATTCTAGCGTAGCTACTGACATGGCCAGTCATTGCATGGTTTCAGAAACAGACAAAAATGACTATGAATCATCTTCCAGTTTTTCTGGTAAGTACAGGTTTCTGCAATTTTTGTTTCATGTGCGTTACGTTCGGTTGAAGGTCAATAGGTATTTTTGGATTGTTTTTTTTGGATTGTTTCAAATGGTTATAACGGTTGTTCATGTGTGATAGAAAACACGCAAACCAGCAGTCAGACCAACCCGCTATATCAACAAGCTGTTTCAACAAAAAATTACATAACATTAGCAACGTTCTGCGTTTAGAAAAACATTATCATCGTACCAACTTGTTTGCTGATTGTCCTACTAATTATATTGTACAGTTGGCCTAGTGGTTAAGGCGTTCGCCTTCGGATCGGGAGGTCGGAGGTTCGAGCCGCACGGGGAGCGTTAATTGAAGGATGAATGTTTCTCGTGCGACTCGTTCCGAAATGGCCGCTTCGTGAGCCGCGAGGTAGTTGAAATGAATGATTACCGATTTCTATCCGCCTGGCGCCTGCCATAGTGGTAGGAGTTGGGAGGTACATGGTATGCAAGCAAAAGGTGTCTTATTAGTCAGAAATGGCTGGCTCTTTTAGTAGGGTGACACTATAATAAACAAAACCTTTACCTTTACTATATAAACTCATACTTTTTCTACATATTACTTTTTATGAAGCATAAGGTGTTATACGTAAATGTGTCAATTGCGTGCAATTACAAATGCAAACAATTTACCATTTTGTTGGAACAGATATGTACACGCAGTTTTGTCTGTGCTGTAATTTCACATTTGCTATCATGTAGAATATGAAGATGCTCTGGAAGAAATCGACGAACAGGTTAATACACCTTATGCTCTTAAAGTAGATGATATTGGGCCACATGCGAAGGAAGCAAACGACTCATGCTTATCTCTGGACAGGCTTGCCTTGAACACTTGCAGTGAACATACCGATGGTACCATAGCCTTTCAAGGTGATGCAACAGAAGTGAATGCGAGTACACAACTTGGAGAAAGAGCACCACCAGAAGGAAGGAACTTTGAGTCTGATGTAACAGCTGAGAATACAACACAAAATGGTAAGTTTGTAAAGAGAAAAACATGAGAAAATGAAATTTAGAAAAATAGATATTTTGTCGTCGGTAAACAATTCATAGAATAGTTTGCTCAATATCCGCAAAACTTTCTGTAAGAAGTACAATATTTGACTTAATTAAAGGCAATACACATAAAAAATCTGAAAATATCAAACATTATAAAAATCAATAATTATGTGTCTATTTCGTTACAGAATTATACGTTTTGTAAGGCAAATTTCTTATTATTCGTCCCCGAAAACGCATTGACCGCGTAATCTAATGTTTTTTTAAACAACGTCCTGGGGAACGCGTTGTAGCCCTGAGCAATAAATATTTGCACTCATTGCTTAGAAATGGTTGGTTCTATGAGATTGGAGAGTGTTTCCAGCACAATTGCATTACAATCAATTATGTATAAAATGACAATCAATTTTATTCATATTTGAAATATTCACAGTCTCGAGTCTTTCTTAAAATTTTTAAATACTATATGAAAGGCGTAGCAAACATTAAAAAGACGATAGCAAATTACGACATTAGAGACAATGAAGTTATGCATATTCTATATAAAAGTTTGTAGAAAGAATTTGATTTAAGATATATTATGCAAAAATTTGATATTTAAAAAAACCTGACATTTACCATACAGTCTCTTATAACATGTAAAATATACATATTTTGAATATACACAGAGAAGATATGTAATGTTTTAAACTCTATACACTACAGGTACTCACAGTACGATTACATAGTGTCATAGTGTCATAATAAAATTGGCAGTTTTTATAAGAATAGACTAAATACAGCTTCCGAGACTAACTTATACATCCCCATTTTCAAAGCAGACATATTCAGGAAGAATTTACTAAATTTCAATAAATTTCTGCAAAAAAGAATTTGCCAAAAATTGAGCAAAGTTTATCTATGGTTTATACAGAATATTTTTCAGTTTAATTGTGTAGGAAGGTATAAGCTTAAAGGCACACTTTCGAATCCGTTCCTGGAACCAACCAGTACTAAGCAATGAGTGTAAAGTTTCTTGCTAAGGGAAACAACTAGTAATCATGAAGAAAAGGGAAATAAATAATCACTATATAATATGATATGTAATATTTGAAACAGATACAGATGCTCAAAATGATGAAATTCCTGTAAAAGAAGAGCTGACAAGCGAGACAGAAGAATCTGACGATTTCAGTGACGGTATCGTCTGCTTAATATTTAAATATTTTATGATAAAACCTCTAGATTTGTTTTCACATAAACTTGCTAGCGTCTGCCTGTATTTTCTATAACGATTTTTCGCTTTTTCATCATGTTTATTTTACGTCACGATATAGAATATGATATATAACTTTTTAACCGTAACAATATCAAGTTTGTAGTCACTGCTTTTATGTGTAACTGGGTTTATACAACACTCTTAGCAACTCTTTTCTCTCTTTATATATTCCTATTTGGTACAAATACGTTAAAATAAACTTACTACAGGAAACATATATTTATCACCAATTAAACTAATTTTACTCTAAAAGATATTTCAAAGTGTCTATGATCCGTGGTGATAATCACTTGATATTGTGATTTATAGCAGATGAAACAACGGAGTCAAAATCTCTCGAAGAGACATTGTATCCTTTCCAACACGAACTTGCAGAGAAGGCATTAGCAGGCGAAAACACTATCATAGTTGCTCCGACTGGAAGTGGAAAAACATAGGTGGCAACACACATTATTGACAGACATTTAAATATGCCAACTGAAGGTAAATTCTCTTTAACTTAAATTTGTTCTTAAAGTTTCAAAATGAATGGTTTGAACGCAAGAATAAAACTAAGTCTCATTTTTTAAATAAGAAAATTACAAAAGCATGGTATTTTAAGCTCAAATTTCTTAAAAGTAAGAATCTTTATATTTATATATTTATATTGATTTTGTTTGAAATTAAATGATTTTGGAAATTTAAAGTAAAATAGAGAATTTGAAAAAAGAATCACACACTTTTCATTAAAGAATACTTATACATTGTAATTGTTTATCAGTACTGTAGTATTTTTATTTCTCTGTTCATTGATCAGGAGGAAAGAAAAGAAAAGTTGTATTCATGGCTCGCAATGGAATACTTGTAGAGCAGCAAAAGAACTTCATTTCCCAGCGATTGCCTTATGCGAATGTAAATAGTTAACATTTATTATCTTTTTTGAAATATGTTGTAAGATTCTGTAAATGACAATAATTTAAGGCACATTAACTGTCACCAGTGAGAACATTTTTTTTCTGTTTTTAAGGGATACTCAGGCAAATTAATAACAAAAATATTAAAATGATCTTTTGTACTCAGACCACACTTAAATGACTTTTTTTGGATGTCCCATCATGAATTTTTGTATAAATTCTATACAGTTTGGGTTTGAAGGGTAAATATATCTATATATGTTGAACGAAATTTAGACGTAGACAGAACCATTGAGTAGTTTCAAAACAAGTCATGTAACTTGAACAAACCCTGGAGTTAACAGATATTATGAATATTGTATGATTGAAAAAGGTCTAAGTAATTCATTTGACATGTTCTTTAACGTTTTCACTGTGATAATATTGTGAAATCTTAACGTCTTACCTGACCTACGTAGGTCAAGTTAGGAAACCACCATTTTTATGCTTCCATAAGGAGAAAAAGTTTTATTCCTGTGACTGCCTAATGTATTCATTTTGGGAACATTTACAGAATAACGAATGAAAAATTGAAAACGAAGAAATGAAACTTTTGCCTGTGCATCCCTTTTAGAATGGACACAAATGTTTTTTTTTATTATTTACATAATGGACTGTCACCTGAAAGTGTTCATTGAGTATAATATAAGTGGCATTTGACCTCAGTTTTTATACTTGATGACTACCAATGTACTTACATCCAGCAAAAGATGCTTCAGCTATATTGTCAATGAGCTATTTTTTGAAACCGTAACTGAACACACACACACACGCACGCACGCACGCACACACACACACAAGGAAAACAACTGATTTTAAGCAATAAAAAATAATATCATTTCTTTGGCCTAATGGATCTTTCAGGAACTATATAATTGAATTTTTATGATAAAATTTAAACAAAGACATTTTAATTGAAGGTCCAACATTTGAAAGGGGACACAGATGAGGCGATGATGCTAAATGCATTTCTTGAAGATAATGACATATTCCTATTCACACCACAAATTCTTGTCAATAATCTGAACACAGATGTTAAAAGTTTGTCGGTATTTTCATTAATGGTGTTTGACGAATGTCATCATACAATCCGCAATCAACCATATAACACACTTATGAAGAAATATCTTTTGGAGAAATCGAATGGAATAAAAAACTTACCACAGGTAAGTTAAAAAATTAAGTTCTTTACGACATGTTCTGCTTGTTTTTCTATGTTCCCGTGCTTGAATTTTATTGATGTAACATTATATTATAATGATTGTAGTTTTTTTTGAAGAAAAATCGAAATTTCTTGAATTAATAAGTTCTATTTGTGGTTACGGTTATGAAATACACAGAAATGAATAAAACATTTTTGAAGTGCATGTTCATGTTTTATGTCTGCCTTTTTTAACATAGAAGTTGTTTTGATTACTAGATCATTGGACTGACAGCATCTATTGGTACAGGTCGAGCTAAATCAGAGCAAGATGCGCTTGAACACATATTTAATGTGTGTGCAAGTTTGGATGTAAGAAATCTGTCGACAGTAGAAAAGCACAAAGATGACCTAGCAAAGCATGTCAGCATTCCAAAAGAAGGTTCGGCTATCATAAAACATCAATAAAACACCTACACTTTCCTAATTTACGGCATTCATTTATTCTCTCTGCTCTGTTTTATTTTTATAGTGGTAGACGTCAAATGTTATGCCTACATTTCAAAGTAATTTCGATATAAGAACTAATTACCAATGATGTATAAAAGTGCAATATAATTTCGATACAAAATCAACTAGATTATCATTTTATCAATAAATTGTTTAAAATAATGACTTTCTTTCATAATAGGCTAATCTTAACGAAGGAATTGCTCATGGCTGTCTACTTTCAAGGTATTTTCGAAGAGAACGATAAACAAAAACAAAACTCTACATTTCGAGAGCATAATTATACTGTATTTACTTCTTGTTTAAAAACAACTTTTATTTATTCGTTGAAGAAAGTATGAGAAATATAAATGTTCGTAAAAGTGAAGCAACATAAGATTTGTTTAGGGTGCGTGAAAGTGGAAACTTTAACGTCGCACTATCACTCTGTAATTGTTATGGCTACTTTCCAGCTTTGTCTGTAGAGGAAGGCCTCAGGTGCGCCTCCGTGCATTAAGTCTGGAATGTACGGGCACATGAAAAGAACTACTGACGTTCCGTATTCTTGCTTGATAGCTTCTTCATTTGAAATAATCGTACGAAAACACAGTGATGAGGGTCAAACGGTTTGACGTATTCGATATTAAAAACTCGGAAAACGGCACTTTGAGTTAAAGAAAAGAAGATTGTAAATTTAATAATAACGTACTAAATATACGATATAAACCATGCAAAATTCAATTTACATTGTTTTTGTTTTATAAAGAAATGTTATATTTGTGTATCAGAGAAAAGGATAGTTATAACATTCTATTTATAGACAAAATACCAATGCAAGCGAGACAAACAGATCAATGTAAAAGCATACTTTTAGTGGCATTGAAGAAAACACTTGATTTTCTTGAAGGTAAACTTTTCAAGTTTTCATATTTATTAAATTATATATTTAAAAACATATATTTGTTCATAATCTTATTACTTATAGCCCAAAGAAATGCATTAAGAACAACTGAAAATAACTTAATCAGAGTATAAAGTAAGTGCATATTCCTTTTTTGAAGATTTAGCATGGACGGAACCGAATTTGATAGAAATAATGCACAAATGTCCAAAGAATATTGAAGATAAGGAATTTGGAAAGTGGATATCGGACATAACTAAGACAGCAGAATCACTAAGAAGAGGTCGGGGAAGAAATGTAGTCTCCTGTGGAAAATATCTTCAAGTATGTTAAAGATGTTTCGTACAGATTATTAAATTCAAGTTGATCTCCATAGACCCCTTTAGATTATCTGCAGATAAATAGAATTTAGACATGACAAATCACGGCAACCGTCACCAACTATATATATTTGACGAGATAAGCAAAAAATGCATCGCATATAGGCTTACAAATACGTGTTCATGATGTATAAGAACAATTCCCAAAATTTATTATTAGGATTTTCCAACACTTCCTATACAGTTACTATTTGAACGCTATAAACTTTTGCTGCTTCATGTTGTTTGTTATGGCATCACTAGCTTTTTACTGGCTTCTAAAAATTAGTACAAATGGGTTATCAGTAAAAAAAGTGACGAACGCCCATTGCAATATTTATTTAAAAAAAGCGGTAAATAAATAGATAACATGATAAACAAATACACTTGTGTCAGTACCGCTGACTTTGCCAGCGTAAACTTAGTAATTCAGTCTATTGCATAATATGTAAATGATAAATACTGCATAAATGCAACAAAATAAAATTTAAATGATCCCATCCATTCTTTCTTTGAATATTTTAGATCTACAACAATGCATTAGAGATAAATAGGTTACTGAGAACTACAGACGTTGCACTTTACCTTGCGCGTCAACACGAGGAAGAAGCTGAACACCCAGAAACTTTTACAAAAGAAGAATCATGTCTCTTTGAAACCCTGAAAGGTTATTTAATTTTCATAATTTCGGTCATAATCATCTACACCTGTGATATGGTGCTTCTTTTATTAAGTACAAAAGTAAACTTGGAATTAAATTTATGTTTAAATCTAAAAGTTTGTAAAAAGCTTCCATTATAACGGGTAAATAAAACGGTACAATGGTTTTTGCAATTCGCAGTTTCAGCTTTTGGTTGTCCCGATAAAATGTATTGAATTATTTAAGCTTATTCTTGTTTATATTTTACTCCAGAGGTACAAAAAGACTTAAGAAAAGTGAAGTCTGACAATCCCAACGTGCATGTTCTAAGTAGTATTTTATCAAATCTGTTTGCTGGAAAGGAAGCAGATTCTAACTCTAGAGCCATGGTTTTTGTTCAAACACGAGCAACATGCAGAGCTTTGGCAGCTTTTCTCAACGAAGAGTTAAAGTCAATATACGTAAAAGTGAGTCCTCTCATAGGAAAAGACACTAGAGGAATTGATAAAGGTACATGTCAAGCAAAAGATATTACTATAACAAATTTATATCATTGCCAAAAATGAAAAAAAAAAACTTGGCAAAAAATAGAAATACTCGCGCACAAGAGATTTTTAAAGTTTTTAAGTCAACATATGCACATTGTGTTGCCAGACTTTCATTTACCCCGAATATCAAAAGGGTCAACACATACGATTCTAAATAATCATTTGAATATCTGCCAGGTGGATACCTAATTTAGTTACATCGGACCAGAAGAATTAGGTAATTAAATGCGCTTAAAATTACTGAAAGTGATTCCTGGATATGACAGTTGCCGTATTTTAAATATTGTGACTGGCTATTTTAACTAATTTTACTTTTTTATGCCTTTTTATTTCTGTAGGAGGGGATAATGTTGAAGAAATGAAATAGAAAATTGTAAAATATTTGTTAATTTTGATGACTTTATTGCATTGTATATTTAACTACCCTCGTAAGCTCTGAGTGAAGGAGATAAAGTTTGATGGTTACTTAATTAAAGGCATGACTGAAGAAGACCAAATTCGAATATTGGATGAATTTAAGGAAGGTGATTTCAAAGTGCTAGTTGCGACATCAGTCGGAATGGAGGGTCTTGATGTACCTGACTGTAATATGACACTAAATTACAACTTTAACGCAAACGAAATTACCAAGATACAAATGTCAGGTAAGAAGTTGTTCATAAAAGTATTCATACATCAACGTTCAATATATAATATTGTATACAAGCTTAAAAGTTCTACTTTACATAAAATAATATTCACAGAAGACATTGGCTTTATTTTTACACATTTTTTTATTTGAACAATGAACAATTTTTTAGATTTTTTTTTTTCAACGCATTATATATAAAAAATACGTATACATAATTCTTTCTTTTTTTTTATCTTCATAATGTATAAAATGGCTTAGAAACTTATCGTTAAGCATCAATATTGTTTTTATTTCAAAGGACGCAGCAGGAAAGCAAGGGACCGCGTTATGATTGGCTACTGACACTCGGCGGCAGTTCGATAAAGACAGAGAGTAATGTGCGAGTTAAAATTAATGGGCGGGGCGTTGCATTTTTTAATAATTTGGGAGAAGTCGCATTGAAAAGACGAATACTTACTGCGCAGAAGAAAATCTCTGATTGCATAAATGGCACCACAAACAATGGAGATGTCTTACAACAGAAAGTCCGATGTAATTGAATTAACGAAATCACTGTAAAAAATGTGGGCAAATATTTTTAATACCTCTAACCCCGGAAGTTAGACACATCCTATACTTGTTGTACCAATGTCAAGGGTTTGAAGCAAAAAATGCCGAAAGAGTAGAACAGAAAAAAAAAAAAAATGAAGAAATGCTCAGTATGGGTGTACTGAATGAAAAAGTTTAGGATGTTCTGCACTCTAGCCAGACTCAAAACACTTCCAATCGCACCCCCATACCGTCAAAAGCCTGGGAGTTATTGCAATTAAAGGTGACCTTGATTTCTACAATTCTCAAATTAAGAAAAACTTAAGTTTATCTGTGAAAAATGTCAAATGACATATCAAACATACAAGAATTGGTCAAGCATGCCATATAAGGTGATGGAAATAAGAAATTGTGACCTTGAGCGTTTATACAAGCAAAATGAATAAAGAAAAGCAATGCAGTTTAAAGATGGTCATCATAAATTCGTATCTTTCTGTAAAACCACACATATTTTTAAAGCAATATTCGGATATAATAATACTACAATCACCATGATCTTATTTATATATTTGATTCTGTATTATCAAACTGAATTCTGGTCAGTGTCTCTGGCAAATAAAATTATGCTTTAAGTAAGAATTTACAATTTGTAAAAATTGTCTTAATAAGATAGACGATGAGTAGCGGGTTTTTTTTATAATTAAAGGATATTGTTAAGTATTTTTCTCTATTGTTTCGTAAATAGTGTAATGATTGTTTGCACTACTTTAATTATTTAATATGATTAAAATAAAACTATATCACTTGCTTAAATACCTATATTTTTGTATTTCATTATGTTGCACCTGTTTGAACTCGAATTTCTTTGCCCACACCTGACGTTCAAATGTTATGTTAATGCACATTTGTTACGTAACTTTCCATGGAGTAATCGTTTATATGTTTATATTATCAATGTACACCGAGTGCTGTCAAATAAAATATAAGTTTCTTTATAAATGTTCTGTATCGTAAATTCGTTATATAAATGTTTGACATGGTTATTTGGCCTTGATAAGCTGTTGTATTCCAATATAACCCGTGTCGCTAGATAACGTTTATTTTGGCGAAACAGTCGTTTATACCGACCCATATAAATGCCAGGATCTTAATTAAAATATAGCTACTTTATACTATAATATACAGCTAACAAAGATGCATCCTATCAAACTTAAAGATATACTATGCTCGAATTTGATATGTTGGAAATATTGATAAATACTACATAGTCTCTTTGTAAGTATACAATAAACATGTTTTGATTCCACACAAAGATTTTATGTTAAAAATTCTACCAACAATAGATGGTTACAATATGAATATATAGTGTCATTGAAAAACTGGCAATATTTATTGAGGAAAAGGCCAACTATGCTTGACCTTATTAAAAAAATATAACTGAAACAAACGCACTGCATATAGGTCAACCCATTTTTCTTAGCTTCCAATGGTACTACATTTCCAGAATACTCACGGTAGCTCATGCTTAGTTGCTCGTTTCTTCAACAATTTTGTTAATCACTTGTCAGCTATTTTCACCTATAATGTTGTATTTTCACTTTTTAAGAATTTATCCCGTTATGTTAATAATATGTGCATTCACCGGAAATAATTAAATACATACTATTCTATATTGTAATAGAGCATTGCTAGAAACATCAACTTATAGTTGAACATATCCATTTCACATTTCAAAGATCAGTAATAATAAGATGTTTCTGATGATTTCCCTAGAGAAATTTCGAAAATAAGGATTATAGTATCATATTTTTACTGCACTTGTAATTATGAATTTATGTGAACTATGAATTTGCTAACTTTACAAGAAAGAGCTTCATGACTTTGATTGTAACTGACTGACTGAAAAAAAAATAAAAAAGTGGTCAGTAAAAAGAAAAATTCGTGCGTCCTTGAAAAATCCTTTTATGACTGATTGTGTGATACACGGAAATTATATCTGGCATTTGATTTATTTTCGTAAAATGACCATTACTGGATACGATTTCATGATTTGTGTTCTATAGGATCTCCAACAAACAGATGATGAATGGTATAGAATAATAGTTATAAAACTGAATAGTTCTACTATGTGCGCATTTTGCCATACTATCAATTAAATTTATCTAAAGGTTCATTACAATGCTTGCCGGAGCATAAATACTGTTTTATAATTGACAAAAACAATCGTTCTTTTTGAAACGAGTCTTGTGTTTGTAACTACCTATAATAACTAGGGCGGCTGCCATATTAAGTCGAAAATGACTTGACGTTAAATATTGATATCAATAAATACTAATAATCTGTCTTAATTATGCACATTTACGTATTAATCGTGTAACATATCTTTTTTTGACAAATTGATTGACGAAATATTATGTACTCGTTTATATTAAGTCATTTTACCGTTAAGTTTGTTGTTCAGGTCAGTTGTACTACACTTTGACGCAAAGGACACATGTCTAACAACTACAAAAAGACGCAAATGATGTTTTCCATTGTTAAGTTGTATTGATGTGATTTTGCGATTGCATTTTGCATCAACGAATTTCCAAATAAACGCTTAGTAGTAACAGTAACAATAGAATATTATATAGTCATATAATTTCTTTTGACTTTTAACTAAAATTAGTTAAAAAGTCCGTCCGCCAAGTATTTAAATTAATAGACGTAAGATATAATTAAGAAATAAACGAATAAAAAATATCTATTTGAACAATTAAATAACCTTGCTTGCTGGTAGCAACACACACTATCATGAAACAAGTACAGACAAAGATCAGCCAGCATAATTATGCTATCAGATCATGGTATGCGCTGTTTGCTGTAGCTTAAAATGATGAATGGTTTTGTCGAGAGTGAAAGATTAACAAGTCTATTATATATCTAACATGTGAAGCGTGGTAAGAGTTAATGGGGGAAGGTGCAACTAACTAGAATGTCCTTCTCCGACATATTTTACATATCTGATTATCAGAATTTAATTTTTTAGAACATCAATGTTCCTTAGCCGTCTTAACATGCGCAGAGCTACGATATTATTTCCAAAATAGAAGTTTTTGCTATATATTCTGTGATATGAGATTGTGGAATGACTTTGTCCTGGTATTTTTACTGATCATTTCAATATCAGAAGAGAGGAAACTCTCCTGATTTCTCAAAGTAGATAAACAAGAGTTATTCTAACAGTGTGCAAAACTAAAAATTATTTTAAAGCGATACTTTATTTTGCTTTAGTGTATACATGCCCTTCTTGCAGTTTAAATAGAAAGATTAACATACAGACACAAATGTTGGTCTAGATGTGACAATTCAGTGTCTTCATTTGAACATATTGTTTTTATCTATTTAAAACATCAACATAACAACGACAAACAAAATAAAATAATAATAATACATGTAAATAAATAAATAGATAAATAAATAAATAAATAAAACAACATAAACTACAAACACAGTTGTTGGAATCTTTTATACTTAAGCCAGCTATGACCACACAAATGTATAGAATATGTTCCCAATAGGAATATGTTCAGCAGTTATCGACATATCTTATCGAAGACAAATTCTAGTACAATTTATCGACAGCTTTTCAGTTCCTGAATTAGTTTTTATATCTGTGGAGGCTAAACAATTGTGATATCAGAGGCCATTTAATCCTACCTAGCAATATCGGAGTCTACATTAATAAGCTGGAAAATTAAGAGTTCTCTTTATGAGACAGCGTCTTCATATCACATTAACGAAATAGGCTACGACGTACGGTATCAGATTCTCCTCTTATATTTTGGTATTTGCATGTACAATTTGTCATTTTTATGTCTGTAAATGTCAAAATAATACGGGATCAAAAGTTCTTCGTCTCAAAAGGCATAAAGGTCAAGAGTTTTACAATTCCTTATTGAACTTTAACTTTTGTCATTGCAAGTTTTAATTTCTAAATTGAAGATTGAACGGCTAAGAATAAAAGCAAGCATTGATAATTAATTTGAAACTGCATCTCTATATTTAACAGGTTTAGATTAAAAAAGTCACTGTCGCCTGCTGTTGTGAGTGTTAATTAATGCTATTAAAAAGGGGAGCTCCATCAAATTTCTTACCTTACTTAAAAACACAGATACAACAACAACCGGAATCGAATCTTGACGAAATATTGAAAAGGAATATACATG